AATATATATATAAAAAAAAAAAGAGTGGGGGGGGGGGGGAAATATCACAAATTCAGAAGAATCATATTAAAAACCACCCCTTCCATTCTGCCCAAAGATTGCAGACCCTAACATCCCATTTTTCAATGCATTTCAAGTGTAATTTCAAAGCACGGAGTGTCTATTTTTGCCCCAACTGGCCACACTAACACACCTCACCAGGAAGCTTTGTCTGCTTTTTTCTCTAACATTCTTAATTTCATATCACTTGTCAAATCTCCAGTTTACAGTAAACAACTGTTCCTCCCCCTGTGAGTTTGCATTCTTTTCATGCTTATTCACAGTGTTTCCACTTTGTCCACCCACAGATCTATCTTGGACTTAAAAGATTTACACTACCTGAAATAATTGTTAATGACTCTGCCAGTAATCGCCTCCAGAACTACCTGGACCCACGTCAGATCGCCGCTTTGGCTGCATCATTACCAGGGCAGAACCAGTGTGAAGACTTCCTGTCAGAAAAGCCAAAGAGGTAAATGTCACCAAGGAAGAGTATCTGACCAGTACGGGAAGTATCTGACCAGCACAAGGGTGGCCAGACCCCCCTGCTGCTGAAGTCGAGAAGGCTGAAGGGGCAGCGCTTGCAGGTCCTCTCCCCCGCCATTCTGGCCTCTGTGGGGCTCCCCCTTGCAGGGACCATCTGCTGAGATCCATGGCATCAACAGACCGTACCTATCTCTGCCATCTCACAGAGGAATCACACCAGGAGGATGCAGTTTAAACAGTTCTTGAACAAGCTGTTCAGAATGCATCCTACAAGATCTGATCAAACAAACTCTTTCTAAACTCTGCTCAAAACAGTTAAAAAATATGGCAAGTATCTACCAAGTAATTTTCTCAAAAAATGTGCTGTTGTCACACTAAGATTTTCTGAGGTATAATTTTTCAAGAGGCAGAAATTGTTCAAGGATCTTCCGTCAGCATTAGCCTTTGAAGTGCTGTCACCTGGTAACTCGTGGCCTGGTCTTGTAGTGGTAGAGATGTTTCTCATTCTTCAGGGACAGAATATTTATATACATATGCGTATACAGCAAAGTTTATAGTTCTAAAGAAGTTACCTTCAAATTTCACTTGAAATAGTACAATGGTACTCAAGCACCCAAATCCCAATTCTAGGACAGCCAGTTTAAGAGGAGTCATGCCATTTATTTTTTACCCAAAGGTCACTTAAGGAGGTGTAACAGCATGCACATACAGCCAGGCAGAAATATAGCTCTCGTTTCTAGAAGTAAGAACACTACTAGAATGAAGAAATAAAAAAGATATTGGAAAGAAAAGCTTGTCTCCATGGGATTAGAAGTTTGACAATTGTTCCCCTGCACAAATATAAGTAATTGCACACTCAGGAACTCAATAACAGTATTACAAATTTCTGAAACAAATTTCTGGGTAACCTTTTTCACTTCTGACAGTCAATCTCCCATCTTTTGAAACTACCCACAGTTTGTGAGAATTTATTCTTCAGTCTTGATGTAAATCAAGTATAAATGGTTTCCCTCACATCTTACAGTCAAGTGGTTTCCAATTTCTAACCTTAATGATGTCCTGTCAGAATGTACAACAAGCAAAAGCATTAACTGTGCTAAATAGAGACCACAAGCAACAGTAAAAAAGAAATCTTATCTGATTTTTAAAGCAAGTTAAAAAGCACAGTTTGATAGCATCCTAATAGAGAAGTTGAATTCAGATAATGCAGAAGTCTGGCTTTTCTCCAACTGTCAACAGATGAAATTCCCTGTACTAGAAGGACACTGAGTTGGATTTCACTGAGCATCAGCTGTACATCTGGAGATCTTAACTTTGGAAAAAATAATCCTTTTAAAGTAACTATCTACAGAACCACTTGTATGATGGACATAATCCCCCCACCACCGACCTTCACTGGCTTTGTGATTCCGTTTGTGTGAGCACCTGGTGCAATGCTCCTGCTTTCCCTGCAGCACCCAGCCAGTGCAGATAAATTAATCTGCGACTCCCTAAGATATTATTAGTTTTTGTGCTCAGAGGATTTAATTAGTCCCCTCCTCTAAAAGCCAGCCCTGGGTGTCACTTAAAAGACGCATCTATTACACAATGGAATGACAGGAAGAATTATGAGTTCTCATCATGAAGCTAGTCTTGAGCAATTGAATTACTGAACTCTCAGCCATCGCTAAGAGCCTTCCATCTCCTCTCGCTGCTCCAAGGGAGAGCCCGAAGCGCCACCTGCTGCTCAAGAGCTGGAACCGCAAAGAACGGCCTCGGGGAACGGCAGCTTCCCACGGGCAATCCCACCCCGTGGGGACCCACACACAAACGTGTTTTCTCACCAAAACGCCCAGTGCGTCATTGCTGTCAGAACAGCCAGGAGCAGCCGGAGAAGGAACCCGGCACAGGGGAGATTCTGCCCGGATTTCAGCAAGCACCCAGTGCTCAGCAAGCGGCACTTTGAGCATTTTTGCAGAAGGCTCCCTATTTCATATTGAAATCTCATAGAGCACCTCAGGCATACTGTCACAGTTTCCAGAGGCCCCCAAACTGAAAAAAAAGAGACTTTGATAAAATTACTTCACAGACCTCCCCCCCCTCCCCCCCCCAAATATCATTCATATACCCTTCAATTAAAACAACGCAATTATCAAACAAATAGCAGGCATTGCCAGTGTAACTACATGAAGGAGAGGGAAAATTCAAAATAAATGAAACACGACGTTAGCGGTGAATGAGATTTTCAGTTGCTGCTAACTGGGGGAAAGCCCTCCAAGAAGCGTCTTTATGGTACTAACCCTTTCTCAGGCTGCTCTGAAAGACTTTTCTTCTAGATTTCTCTAGTCCTTGTTTCTCCTCACTCGGTAGCCTCAAAAACATTCACTTCTGCCCCCCAGTGTGGACATCTGTTAAAGGATTATGCACCTTAGCGCAGAGGCGCCGAGCCGAACTGTGAACAGCGCTCAGGCAGCGCGGGAGCAGCAGCTGCTTCAGGATGAAAAAAGGAAAGCTCCGGCCGGGGGCGGGCGGGCCGGCACCGAGACGGACAGTCCCGCGCCTCAGGAAGCGAAGGCGCATTTAGAACCACAAATTTAACCTTTCCCAAAGCACTCCGTTTTGCTGCAGTTCCCCTCCCCGCTCCCGAAGGGGCCGCTCCCCGGCGCGGGGGGACCGGCGGCGCAGCCCGCGGCCGCTCGTCGGGCAAAGCCCCAGACCCGCTCCCCGCTCCTCAGGCCGCAGCGCGCTCGGGCAGCGCGGCCCGTGGGGCCCGGCGGGACAAGCCGGCCTCGGCCCCGGGAGAGGCCGCACCCCGTGCTGCGGGGCAAGAGGCGGCAGCGGGACCGGACGGTCCCGGCACCACCGCGCGCGGACGCTCCTCGGGCCGGGCCCCGGGAGGGGCGGAGCGCCGCGCTGAGCGCTCGCAGCCGGAGAACCGGCCAATCAGGCGCCACGGCTCCCGCGCGCCGCCTCCGATTGGGAGCGAGCGGGCCGAGCCCGCCCCTGGAGGAGGCCGCGTCCGGAGGCGGGGGCGCGCAGTGAGCGCGGCCGCCATTGGCCGGGCGGCGCGGTGGCGGCATGGCGGCGGCAGCGGCGGGCCAGGCGGCGGGCGGCGGAGACTTCTCGGACCTGCGGGAGATCAAGAAGCAGCTGCTGAGCGTGGCGGAGCGGAGCCGCGAGCGCGGGCTGCAGCACAGCGGGAAGTGGTGAGCGCTGCGGGAGGACCGGCCCGGGAGGGAAGGAGGGCGGGCGGCCGGCCGGCCGGCCGGCCTCCTGCTAACGGGCCTCTCTCTCCTCAGGGCCTCCGAGCTGGCCTTCGCCCTGGACCCTCTGCCGCTGAGCGAGCTGCCGCCGCCCCCGGCGCTCACCGAGGTACGGAGGGGAGCCGCCCAGGCGGGGTGTGAGACGGGCCGGGCCGCAGCCGTTCCGGGGCTGCGGGGGGTTCTCGGAGGGGCAGCGCTGCGGATCTTTGCTGCCGGGGCGGGTTTTGGTCCTGTCTGTAACCACTGAGCAAAAAACGCGATCACGATCACTCAAAAGCAGGCGCAGGAGGGAGCCCTGGTCGGCGATTGCCCCTTAGTGCTGTGAAGTTCCCTTCCGTTCCGTACGGGATGGGGCGGATGGAGCTTCCCCAGATTAAATCATTCCATTTCACGTGTCGCTGTGCCCTAAATGAGATACTCTGTAAGCAGAATTTGAAATCATGCTCCTTAATTTTTATCCGTCTTTACAAAGGCCAAGATTTTGTTGTACCATTAAGCTTGTGCTCCTTAGGATGCAAGAGAAACAAGTTGTATCTCCATCCCCACCTCCGTAGGTGTATAGAAGGACTTCTAGGTATATGCCTGTTTTCTGGAATGTCACTGTTTAGTTTAAATATTTCTAACTAGTCCATACTCATTATTTGAGAACTAGAAATCTGTTGCCCAGACCACAACATCATGTGAGGGAAGGAGAGACTTTTCTGATTGTGCTCAAACCATATTTGAGGATGAATAAACTACGCTTTTAGCTTTTGGACGAATTTCATTGATGTGTTTGTAACTAGGTGATTTTCCTAAAGCATGTCAGAGCTTCTGAGGTATTAAAACTCTTCTGTGTCCATGCAGGAGGATGCTCGCGATCTGGATGCTTACACGTTAGCCAAGTCTTACTTTGATCTAAAGGAATATGACAGGGCTGCCTATTTTCTGCGGGGCTGCAAGAGTCAGAAAGCTTACTTCTTGTACATGTACTCCAGATACCTGGTAAGGTCGAAGGAAAAATCGCCTTTCAGCACTGAACTTCTCTGCTTCCTACTCCTCCCTGGCATACCTTATTTTTTGCCTGTTCTGTTCCAAATGACCACCTAAAGGCCCAAGTTATATGTCTGGGGGAAGGGAGACAGGGGTGCTCTTTTTTTGAACTGTGATGTGTGTGAATACTCAGTGTGCATGCTGCTGCTAGCATTTAAGCGAAAATGAGGAATATGCTACTGTCATGTAATGTTGGTTTTCCTCTGTTTTCCACAGTCAGGGGAAAAGAAGAAGGATGATGAGACAGTGGATAGTTTGGGTAAGTCTCTGGTGTCAGGAAACACAAGACAGCAAAGTGAAGCTTCCTGTAATTCTTCTTCATGTAAATCATCTTGGTTTTATGGCTTCCCCCTCAAATTTTGGGTAATAGTGTGTGGTAACATGATTTCTTTCATTCTCTCTCAGTTCATTGGCCAAGTACAGGTTACAGGTTTTCATCTATTAGTTCTTCTGCTAAAGCAGGTAATCAGACTAAGTGATTTTCTTTTAAAAAGAGGAAAATAATCAAGGCCGGGAAGCATTTTGGTCATGTCAGGGATGATTGTGAATATACCCTAGATGTAATTGCTGTGGTAAGACTCTTGAGTGAAAGCTATTTGACTTTCTCTTCATTCAGGACCTCTGGAAAAAGGACAGGTGAAAAATGAAGCTCTACGAGAATTGAGAGTTGAACTCAGCAAGAAACACAAGGCACGGGAACTGGATGGATTTGGCCTTTATCTGTAAGTGTCTGCGTATATTTTTAATGTAGTCATGTGCATTTGCGTGGCTATGGAAAGCTTTATGGTTCTGTTTAACTTGATAACTTTTTTTTTCAGGTATGGTGTGGTGCTGCGGAAGCTGGACCTGGTGAAAGAAGCGATAGATGTGTTCGTTGAAGCTGCCCACGTCTTACCTTTGCACTGGGGAGCCTGGCTGGAACTTTGCAACTTGATTACGGATAAAGAGATGGTAAAACTTGGGAGATATCAAAATGTGGTAACAAACTCCAGATTCAGTAACCACTGGTTCAGTTGCCACAAGATTGATGTCACCCTCTGCTTTATTCTGTGAGACTCTTTCAGGGAAGGCAATCCAAGACTGTAAATTATGTTGTTAATACATCTTTTTATTCAATTGTTTACCATCCTGTAGCTTGAGAATCTTTATACAGGCAGGGCTAATTTTTTATCGTTCACCCACAAAGTGCTTTAAGAAATGGCTAATTCACCTATTTTGAAGTAGTTGTCAGCAGGGTTATTGCCTTGTCATGTGAAGGAGATCCTCTTAAGATAATTTTTTTTTTTCCCCCCCTCTTAATCTGGTTCTAGTTCCGTGGTTACCAAGCACTTCTGGTGGCCTGAAATGATATATGGAATCCTGCTTTAAAAACTAAAACGCTAATCTGGCTGTTCCCTCTGCCAAATACAAAGCTGCACATACAAGGTGAAGTGTGTCACAGAACTGAATGTAGATGTAAAATCAAAACAGATTGTTTTTCTTTATACATGAGATTTTATGAGACCGCTCCTGGAATTCTTCAGTCAATTCTGGCTGGTGGAATATTTAAAAAAGTAGAGGTGGCACAGAAGAGACCCTTACTGATTTGTGGAAAAAGGGAAATGCATTTTTGATGAGATTATTTGGAGTCTGTTTTGGAGCTTATAAAAAATAGCAATATGATACTGATATTTAAGCACAAGAAGAAAGTACAGTCTTTCGAAAGACTTCTGAATTTAATGGAGGAATAAGGCCAGTGGCTGAAGCAGAAGTCAGACGCTGTCAGATTTGAAGACCATAATGTCTTCACCAATTGACCAAATGAAATGACTTCATCTCTTCTGCAATTCCAGTGGTCGTTTCAGTGGCCAGTCTGGCCCAAAGCACAACAACTGGGGGTGATTAAATAGAATTATGTGCTCCATATTGTACTGCTTTTTAGACTTTGATGTCTTAACGCGCCTTTCCCGTTTCAATATTCTCAACTTATAGGCATTATTTAGTCTCTCCTGTGGAAGAACCTGGTATTAATTCTTGGTCCTAATACTGCTCTTTTGTAGCTGGTGTTATGGTTTAAGAAAGCGATTGCAGGAAAGCCTCCTACCTCGAGACCATCTACTAAATCATGGGAGGGAAGATAATGGATTCTTTGCCACAGGTGGCTCTTAGAATACTACTGATTGTCATCTCTTCCTCCTCTTCTTTGGTTCTTGCCAGTTGAAGTTCCTGTCCTTGCCAGATACATGGATGAAAGAATTCTTTCTTGCACACATTTATACTGAGCTGCAGCTGATAGAGGAGGCTCTGCAGAAGTATCAGAGTCTCATTGATGCAGGATTTTCCAAAAGCACTTACATCATCTCTCAGATTGCAGTTGCCTACCACAACATCCGAGGTCAGTGACACTTACTGACTAGTAGGAATGAGCCTCTTAATGCAAACTTGACATTTATGGTTTTGTTCTCCCATCTCCTGTTCTTCCTTCAGATATTGACAAAGCTTTATCCATCTTTAACGAGCTAAGGAAACAAGATCCTTACAGGATAGAAAACATGGACACTTTCTCCAACTTGCTGTATGTGAGGGTAAGCACTCTTTCTGTTCCTGTCCATAACGGTGGTGGTTATCAGAGGTACGTTAAACACCGGCAAAGCCGCTGGTGCTATCTCACCTCTCTGGATATGGGCTTTCAGCTTCCACTTTCTGCTTCACAGCTCCATGAGACAGATGGAGTGTATGCATTGCCAACTGCCTCGGTTTTCTGTGGAACTGTAGCATGCTCCTTTTCTCATCACTTCCATTTCTTTGTTTCACTAGAGCATGAAGCCCGAGTTGAGCTACCTGGCTCACAATCTGTGTGAGATAGACAAGTATCGTGTTGAGACCTGCTGTGTGATTGGTGAGAGCCAGCTCTTTTATGTGTTCTTATTGTGCTGTCTGCGGCCATGCGTGGAAATCTTAGAAACAGTTGTGAAAATGATCATCCAGCAAGGCTATCAAAACTGCTTGGCAAAAGTGGATTCAAGCAGCCTAAAAAGCAGACCAAATGCCAGAGTACCCTTTTCCCTCATTTTTCTCTGAAGGAGCTGCTGTAATTACTGTCAGCGCACAAAGGAGTCGAAGAAACCATCATGAATACCCACATAGCCAAGAATCCATTTAGGGTCTTGAAACTCCAATGGAAATAATTGTGTGTCAGGACTGGGAAATTAATTTGTTAGATCATTACATAAGTTTTAAGGCCAAAGGGATGGGATCTTACTTGATTGGCACAACTGGAAAAGGATTGACCAGAACACTGGAGAACAGACTGCTGTTAGGCCTCTTGAAGTTTGAATCAGATCTGCCTTTAATAGAGTCTTTATGATTTAAGTTAGGAGGTAGTAGGTAATATCTCTTCCATCTGTTTTCTACTTCTCTGCTGGGTTTTTTTGTTTTGTTTTTTTTTTAATCTATTTAAATGTTGTGACTTTCGCTTTAGGGAATTATTATAGCTTGCGTTCCCAGCATGAAAAAGCAGCACTGTATTTCCAGAGAGCCTTGAAATTGAATCCTCGTTATCTGGGAGCCTGGACACTCATGGGACATGAGTATATGGAAATGAAGAACACATCTGCAGCTATCCAGGCTTACAGGTATCACTCATGGTCTTTGGGTCTGCGGGCATAAGGACTGTAGTAGTATCTTCTATTCTTTGTTAGTCTGTTGCTGAACTCTGTCTTGATTTTGACCCTGACTGTTTTCTGATTAGTTCATCTTCTTTCCTTTGACAGACATGCAATAGAGGTGAACAAAAGAGACTACAGAGCATGGTATGGCTTGGGCCAAACCTATGAAATCCTCAAAATGCCATTTTACTGTCTCTATTATTACCGACGGGCCCACCAGCTCAGGTAGAGTTGAGAATGGGGTCATGTTTATTGATGTTCACTCTGGTGTGGTTTCTACTCACTGAGGAATTTACATGCAAGAACTAAGTTGGGGAAGGGAGAGGAACGTCAATGCTATGTGATTTGTGCAGTCTCGCTATTCCAAATCCTCTTAATTGTGTTAGTTAACTGGCAAAGCCTTTGTTAATAGTTAAATGCTGAGGAACGCTGATCAGGAGTAGAACTGATGTTTTATGTAAGAGAAGATGACCAGTACTGCCAGATGTAGATATTTTTTCCCCCTCCCCACCCTGAGAACTGGCTGGCTCTCAGGGCTGGCTGTCCATTAAACTACATCTAGGAATTGCTCTTTTACAGACCAAATGACTCTCGTATGCTGGTTGCTCTAGGAGAATGCTATGAGAAACTCAATCAGTTGGTGGAAGCTAAAAAGGTGAGAACTGTTGTGTGGAGTAAGACATTAGATGTCTCCCAGGACACTCAGAGTTGCAGCAAAATTGTGTACCTGGTGCTACCAGAAATGCACACGGTGTGTTGGTAGGAGCTTATCGAAACCTTAGTTCTGTGGTGGTTACAACTGGGTAAGTTCTGCTGCAATGTACCTAGAGCAGCTGATAAATTAAAAAAAGAGTGATTACAGCTGTGACATGCCCTGTTGCTGGAAAAGCCGTGTTGTTTCCTGTTTCTCGTTTGCATGAGTGGTGAGCCGGAGTTGTTTTTGTGGTGTGCTTGCCTGACTTTCCTTCCTTGGCAGTGCTACTGGAGAGCTTATGCTGTGGGAGACGTGGAGAAAATGGCACTGGTAAAACTGGCAAAGTGAGTATGTTCATCACTGAACCGCCAACACTGTTAAACGCCACTAGCACTTTGATACTTAGTGATAAAATAGTAAAACAAGTGGAATTGCTGTTTGGTAGTATTACTTTTGGAGCTGTGTGGTAACTGGTGTCTTTAGGTCTGTAGTGACTGCAAATTCTGGTGTCCAGCTTCAGCTTTAAGCTTCCCTCAGGATAACTAGAGGGAATCATAGCATCATGTGGGTTGAAGGGTCCTCTGAATCCTGGGGTGATTTGAGCAGGCGGCACTAGCAATTGTGTTTGTTGTACTGAAACTGAAAGCAGTCCATAATGGTAGGTGATGTACAAAATTGTAGATTGATTAAAATATTTTTTTAAATTTTTATTTTATTTTACTTTAATTCCCCCAGTATATGGTTGTGACATTGGGAAAGGGTCTAATGTGAAACAAACTCCGACATCAGCTCTAATTTTTGGTGGAGATAAAGTAATATACGGTGGAAAAAGTGAAGGGAGAGGAAAAGGGCAAGTGAAAGGTGAAGCTGCTGTACAAAGACTTTTGGGATATAGCAGGGGGAAAAAGGAGCACTGGAGGAAACAGCCAGTAAATAGGATGGCAAAGGCCTGTTAAAATCTTTCAAATGTAATAGAATAAGCAAAAGTCCCAGCTTTGGTTGTCACTACTTTTAGCAGCTGGGATCTGACTGGCTCCCTTTGTGGTAATTTAAATGTTCTCACGCCGGATCTTCTCTTTCCGTGAGGGGCAGTACACGGTGCAGGTCTTGCTAGTGCTGAAGGAGGAGACCTGGCTTCAGTCTAGGTCAGGTTGAGCAGGTACTTTCTCGCAGACCAAGAAGGTCTTGGACAGTGTGGTCTTGTTCCAGTGACCCATTTTTCTCCTTCTCTAGGCTGCACGAACAGCTGAATGAATCTGAACAGGCAGCTCAGTGCTATATCAAATACATCCAGGATATCTATTCCTGCGGGGTAAGATGATATCTGGAGAGTAAAAGGAGAAGTAAACATGCTGTAGAACTGCTGTGGAAGGTGCTAAAAGATGATGGGTTTTACCCTTCACTGCAGGAGCTGGTGGAGCATGTGGAGGTGAGCACTGCCTTCCGCTACCTGGCCCAATACTACTTCAAGTGCAAACTCTGGGATGAGGCCTCGGCTTGTGCTCAGAAGTGCTGTGCGTTCAATGATGTGAGTAGTTACAGAGTCTTCAGTGTTTCTTGTTGAGGGGATCTCTGACCTTGGTGTTGGCTCCCCTCAGAGTAGAAGGGATCCTTTATAGAAGGAATGAGGGCTGCCTGCCATGCAGGTCACATCCTGAGTGGTGGGAGTGTATACCTGGTCACTAATGCTGCTTGTGATTGACCGAAATCATGGGATACAGTGTAGAAGGTAAACTTGAACCATGTCTCATTGGTGTTCTCTACATTAAAGAGTCTGAGGCTCTGCATGGCAGTCTTGAGACTGCTGAAAATCTTGGTGAAGAGGTGGTTAGATGGTCACAGATTCCCACACACTGTGTTGTGATGGTACTCACATAACTGCTTTTTTTCCTCATCTTCTGCATGTAGACGATGCAGAGGATATAATAGTACCTGGGCTTTGTATGCGACTCTGTATTCTGATATGTTCTGTATCTGCAAGTGGGAAATTTTGGATTTTTAACTTCAGGCTGGAGGCAGACACTAGCCATGAGTGCAGGGTGTTTGGTCTGTCCTTAACAAATCTATCTGGAAGTCCGGAGAACCTGAGTTCTGCTTGTTTGAAGCTTCTCCAGTCTACTTTTTGCTGAAATAGACAGCTTCAGTGGTTGATGGTAACACTGTTTGAAATACCCAAGTACCATGCAAATCAGGTGAGTAAACGGAGGAGAGACTTAAAAAAAAAAAAGTGACATACCTTAACATTTTTAAGTAGCAAAAGAAAAAATGAAGGAGGATGCTTTTTATAGCTTGGATCCTTACAGAATGACAAACTACTATAGCTTTTATACTGTTTACATAGTGAATTTGACTCAGAAACCACCCATCCATTGTTTTGTTTTTAACAAACTGTTTTCAGACTAGAGAAGAAGGAAAGGCCCTGCTGCGGCAGATCTTACAGCTTCGCAACCAAGGAGAAACCTCATCCACAGATATTGCTGCTCCCTTTTTCCTCCCTGCGTCACTGTCGGCCAACAACACTCCCACACGCCGTGTCTCCCCACTCAACCTCTCTTCTGTAACACCGTGAACAATGCTGGTACTTCTAACCCCTGTGCTGAGTGGGACATTGCAGATGGGGCTTGCAACCACCTGCTTCTTTCCAGTGACATTTCTACGTCCATTGTTGCCTTCACATTGAGGGGTCAGAGTTGTTGGAGCCCACAGCTGCAGATGGAGTGCCCAGCAGGCAAAGGTGCAGCTGATGGAAGATGCCTGTGCTGAGACGTGAGAACCTGCTTTTCTCACCGAGTCATTACAGTCAGAGGGCAGACATGTTCCAAGAGACAGGACTACTCAGAACCGAGGGACTGGGAAGAGCTTGTTTGCTTGAGTTCAAATATATTTGAAGTTTGATTCTGCCCTGTTACCTCTGGTCGTTACTGAACTTCTTTGGATGACCTCTTAGTGGTGTCATTGCTGTCTGCATTGGAAACTGTTACTGCCTGGCTACCTGAGGACTTCTGCTTGTCTTAAACTACACAGAAGATGTTCTATGAAAGCAGTAGGTACAGGCACTTAGATATAGGTGCCCTGTTGGTGTTGAAGGACTGAGAAGTGTCAGAGGCATTCCAAGTAGCCACAGATGGCAGCTGTTTGCCATTCTGTCTGTGGATCTGATGGATACTGTGGCTTTCAGTAGAAGAGCAGCCAGTGGGATAGCACAATTAAAAACTAATGGTTAAGTTATTGTTCCTGGGCTTCTTTATGGTGCAGCTTTCCTGGTTACTGTAACAAATGGAATTGGATGAACCATACTGCATCATTTTGTTAAGGGCTGCCCCATCTCGTGGACAGTGTGGTGCAAGGGATTTGCCCCCTGCTGCTTGTCCCCGTTGGCACATCCAGCCCATAGTAAGGCTGAGTGTGCATGTCAAAGATACACAGAGCTGCCTGCGTACTGCAGTCACGGCCAGAAAGGAGCAGGTTAACGTAAACAAGAGGGCAGTGGCCTCAGGTGCGCTTGCTTAAAACAGAAACTGTAGAACTGTCCTGATCCTGTTACTACTTGCTTCAAGTTTGCTGGTGGAACCCATGTACATGCTTTCAGTGACTTAACTCAAGTGCATGTTCCCATTCTCTGGTCTCCAGTCTCTGCCCATGACCTCAAGCCTCTTCGGTATTGATGTCTGGACCTTGGGTAGCTTGTTCAGTCTCAACCCTGGGCCTGGGGTATCTGCAGACTGTGGGTTTTGCCCATTTGCTGGCTAGTCCCAGCTAGGGTGGGTATTGGAATGCACACATACGGACACAGAGTAAGGGGCACAAGGATACAGAAAACTGGCAGCAATAGTGTTTGTTTCATTAATAACACTGTTGAAGGCACTCTGGCGATGAGCAGTAAGTCTTGGCCAGATAGAGGTTCCTGACCAGCAGCCTGCTGGCCTGCGGGTGGTGGCTCTTCTGCGTCAACACTCTCTCACTCCTGTTTTCCCATGCTTATTCCTCCCAGGCCCATCTTTGCCCCTCCCTCGGGGTCTGCAGTCATTCACCTTGACATCCCATGATATGTTTTATGTGGTCCTGCAGTCCTCTTTGGGCATCTTAAAATAAATTTGCCCTTGTCTGTAAGACCCTTACTGATAGCCAGCCACAGCTCTGTTGGTCACAGCACTCCTGGTTGAATCTCCAGAGTTACATTTGGGTGGTTGCTTTAATGGCCCGTCAACCTGTGTCTTAGAGCTCAAGTCTTCGTTATCTGCTGTTGGACTTTATGTATCCACATGCTTCACTTATCACCCGTCCTGTTCTCTGTCTTGTCTTTTACATTGAGGAGCTGTTAACCAGATGTTCTCAACTTTCCTGAGATAATGGACAGAGGTTCACAACATTGCTGCCTTGGACTTGAATTCTCTTGTTTGTTGACACTTAGTGCCCTTCAGACAAAGAGAGTGTTATGTTTGGGCTTCATCTCCCTGGCAGGAATGTGATTTTGTTTGTTTCGAGCAATGACTTGTGAAGAACAACCAACTGTTTGGGATATCGGTTTGACCTATGGCTTCAGCCAAGTGTCTGGGTGCTATTCAGTTACAACCAGTAACCAGTAGCTTAGTACAACCTGGAGGGCTGGCTTTTTAAAAGTACTTCAGGTTGGGGTTATGAGTTACGAATAATGAATATATTCATGTTATGAGTGATCTGCAGTTACGAATAAACTGCAGATGTTCATGCTCAACAAGCTCCAGTTTCCTCAGGGCTGTCCAATAGTGGGAGCTCCCACAGAGTTTTGTAATTGTCTGAAGATGTCCTTAGGACAAAATAGTCCAAGTTTCACCTGACTGTTTTTAAATGAAGATTGTCCAAACCAAAGGTCCTGCATTAAATCCATTATCCAGATGGGTGAGAAGGGACTGTGGTGAGCCTGGGCTACGATGGCAACTGCCGTGTAGCGTGCCCTGGCTGTGCCCTTCTCTTGTGAGATCGCGACAGGGAGAGTGCATGGGAAGCACTAGTTGACTTATTGCTGGTGTCAGTGTTGCAATTAAAACTGCCAGTAGAGACAAAAAGATAAATATGCCTTTGTTTCAGAATCAGTGTCCTTATTCACCCCAATAAATTTATTACAGCCTTATCCCTATGGCTGTGGCATGATTTTAATCAAGGAAAAAGCATTTCAAAAGCCTTCTCCCATTTGTCCATAGCTTCCTGTGCTTCGTGAGACACTTCATACTGGTGGGCACTCTGGGAAAGCTGCTGGCAAGGCCATCACTGCACATGGCCCTCTGTACAACGCACTGCATCGTGTGCAGATCGCAGAGGGATCCCATTTTGCTAATTCTGGGCATCTCTAGAAATTACTCTCTCTTGTTTTATGCTCCTTAGCACCTATTGAACCAGCATTTCTACAGCAGATGAATTTAAGCAGCAACATTGGATCTTGATGTATTTCTCAAGCACTTCTGTAATTATCCCATGCAAGACTGAGGTATGAGTGAGACCACTTGTGAAATTGCTGTCCCCCTTGGCTCCCAGCTTGCCTTCCCTCGCTGCACGAGCCCGTCCTGGCTGCTCCTGCACCCTCTGGCCAACTCCCTGGGTAATTCAGCCCTTCAGAGACCTGCAGTTTTGCCCCCTCCCTAGAGACCCAGAAGTTGCAGGTAGAGATGGCAAAAGGTCAGCTAGAAGAAGCAGCTCAAATATACTTTGTGAGGACAAAGTATGCACAGACTTAACAACCAAATTCAAGGTCTTTACTGGGACAAGGGAACCACGATTTATCAGAGAATTCTTACTGGTGGAAATACAGGAAAATGCTTATATGAGTGATTAAAAAGGTCAACTGCCAATATTTCATTCTTTAAGTCCCAGTAAAAAGTCCTGTGAATTGGAGGACATACAGTGCACAGGTAGTGATGCACATCTTGAGGAGATGATGGGGATGTGGCCTGGGGCTGCAGGGAGGGCACCAAGAAAGCCCAGGCATGGCTGCAGCTCAGCTTGGCTGGGGACATACGAAATAAAAGAATGGTTTTACAGGAACACAGGACACCGAAGGAAGGTGAAAGAGACTGTACAACCGTACAAACCTGGCTACACTGACATGGAGAAGGCTGAGGTACTCAACAACTTTTTTGCCTTCATCTTCTCCAACAAGTGCTCCAGCCACCAGCTCTGGCCAGGTCTAACATTGATGCTTTTCTCCATACCCCGCCAAAGGGACAGCTCCTGGAATTCTCCATGTCTGTACTGGTGTCGGCCCGCCAGCCTCTCTGGGGCCTTTGCAGTTGGCTTCAGGATGGAGATGGAGAATCCTGAGTAACCCGGAGCGCAGGGGCTCCTGTGGCCACCGTTCGCCGAGTGCCTCTCTGCCGTTTGGGCCACGCAGAAGCAGCGTCCCTGCCTTTGCAGTTTATTCAGAAATAGAACCGGTTCCGACCAACCCGCCTGGGCTGGAGCTTGTCGCCGGCCCGCCCTGAGAAGCCGTTCTGCTGTGGGGATGGCCCCGTGGAACACCAGTCCCGCACCCCCGGCTGATGGCCGCTCCGCTGGGGGGGGCGTTTTGCCGCCCCGAGGTGCGATTTCGGGTGCGGGGCCGTGCCGGCCTGGCCCGCTCCCGGCGCTCCCGCTCCCACACGCCGCGGGGGCTGCGGTAGCTCTGGCCCGAGGGCTGGAGCCCGCCACCCCCGACGGCCTCGCACCGCCCGTCCGACGGCCTGACAGACCCGGCCGGCGGCCGCGGG